GCCTGCCTGACCCCAGGCTCCTTCCCAAGTCCTGCTGATCGAGGCTCCCGGAGACACCCCGCCCTTCGTCCCAGCCTCTCTCCAGCTGGTCCTTTTTCAAACTCCCCCATTTGCCATCCGTACCGCCCGTCATGCACTCAGGATCCAGTCTGCCTGACACCTTCCGCCTCTCCTCCCCAGAGCTTGGCCCCACGAGCTCTGGGCTGAGCTATGACATTTCCCTCGGCCCCAGGAGTGCTCACGGACTTAGTGAGGGACCCGGCACCAGTCTGCGTGCCTGGGGTCTGTGGCAGCCACATGGGCAGTGGCGGCCCACACACCCCTCCTCCTCGAGGGAGAGGGCCGAGGGCACACGCGGCAAATGAGTAAACCGTATGCCACTGGGGAGCGAAACGTTAACTGGTGGGAGGGGATCGGGACAGTCGAGGGTCAGGGGACGCAGCTTGCCAGAGGGCGGTGCCGTGGGGTGGACCTCAAGGGTGAAGTTCCAGGCAGAGGAGCTAAGGATGGGGATCTCCAGGGCAGGGGGCCGGGCGAGGCCATGGGGGGGCTCAGAGAAGGCTGGCTTGCATGGCATGAAACGCAGAGCCGGTCCCTTCAGGGGCAAACGCACTCCCATGTCTGCTGCTGAGACTTGAGACCGACGCGGAGGCGAAGGGACAGTGTTGGCCCGGGCCCAGTGGCAGTGGCGGAGGAAGAGACGGTGGGTCCGGGTGTGCTGTGACAGTAACAGCAGGACCCCAAGGAGGCAGACACAGGAGTGGGGAAGCGGAGGCCGTGACCGACCGCAAGAGGGCAGGTCTGAGCGGCTGGACAGACGGCACTTTACAGACTGGGGGCTGGGGTGGGGGTCGGCAGGTGTAACAGGTGTGGGGTTGGGGAGGACAACATCCTGGGTCCCGCCCTGTTGAGGGATGGGAGGATCAGGAAGAAGAAGAGGAGCCAACAAAGGAGGCCAATGAGCCATGGGTGGAGGACGGGGTGGCGAAGGGGGGGGACGGGGGTGGGGGGTGTGACCCATAAGAGAGTGGGGAAAGCCTTTGGAGGAGGCAGGGCCCTCACCCCACCCAGATACCCGCTCGGGCATCTGTCGTTCTCTCCAGCGTGTGAGCTCCTTGCAGGAAGGAAGGATGCCTCCTCTACCCTAGTGCCCCAGCCCCGCCCTAGTGACCACCCTGCAGCAACAGAACCAGGCAGGGCCGGGCACGGGGCAGGCATCGCTCCGAGCGCCACCTGTGTGGCTCATCCACTCAGGGCACCGCCAAACCCCCCCCCCCATGAGGGCATCGAGGCCGGAGGTTATGGAACTCGCCCAAGATTACACGACTGGTCAGCGTTGGGCAGCCGACATGTGACCCCAAGTTCATCTTCTTAACCATGTGCCAAATAGCACATATTGAACATACACGTGGCCAATACATATGACCCGAACCGATTAAACAAAACCATCTGCACACAGTTTCTAGGGGGAGAAACATGCTTTCTCTTGGTTAATGAACCATTTCCCAGAATGCCAAGACACAGGATAGCGTCTTCAGAGGCGGAAGGGCATCACTGTTTCTTTTCTGTTCTCTACAAATGAGCACAACTGTGGATTATCCTCACTGCTGTCTGAAGTGCCCACCTATGGGCTGAGGAAAGCATAGATGGCTCTTTTATACTACCTCCTTCCAAGAAAGTAATTTTCATTCTCTCTTCTCACCCTTCCGAGAAAAACTTGAAAGAAAAAAATGTAGAATTACAGTGGTTTACAGCTCAATTAAAAAAAAAAATGTTTCTTCTCTTATCTCCTCTTTGTTTTCTCTCCTAATTTTCAAGTGGTTCAAACCAGTTGAGTTGTATTTCTTTTCAGGAGGTGCTGGTTCTTTCTTATTTAAAATGTTAAAAATACTCTCTTACCTGCGACCCCTCCCTGCCCCTCCCCCTGCTGTAAACACGTCAACTGTGATCTTTTTCCAAATAGATGAGTTGATATGGAAAGATTAATCTATTTAAGTGGTTATTTAAGTGTCTCTCAGACAAAGGAAGGGAGGAAGGAAGGAAGGAAGGAAGGAAGGAAGGAAG